GCAGGAAGCAGTATCCCAGTCTCATGCAATGGGAAAATTTCATGCAATTGAAAAATCTATAAAGCTGCCCATGCAGGGAGCTCAGATGTGGATTTTGGACTTCCTGAATAATGGTGGATTGCTGCTGTTTTAATGTGTGACCTTAGGTGGGGAGCATGAGCCATGCAGTTTGGATCCAAGGTATGGATTGCGAAGCCAAGGGAGTGAATGAGGGACAAGTTCAGTTTAGTTGCACTGGGGCATTTCCGTGATTATCCTGTATTGTCTAATGTTCTACTTCTGACCAAACCCCATTGTTTTCCTGTTGCTGAGTGCATAGCTGCTGATCTCTCACTCTCCACATGCAAGCTAACCAGCCTATCTGTGCCTCTGAGCATCTTCACAGAGCTTTCCATTTGGGCAAATCCGAATCACTGTTGCCCAGAATATGTACTTGAGTTTTCCATTGCTTTCGAACTTGCTTTCATGCAAGTTATTAATTGTATTTTGAACCCTTTGCTTTCTTATTTCTTGAATGCAGTCACTTAATAAAAGTTTCACCCTGACCTGGATACCTAGGCTAGCCAGTTCCCATCAGATCTTGGAACCTGAGCAGGTTCCTTGGAACCCTGGCTAGCATTTGGATGGAAGACCGGAAAGGAACCCCAGGGTTGTGACGAGCTTTCCATTTGGGCAAATCCGAATCACTCTTGCCCAGAATATGTACTTGAGTTTTCCACTGCTTTCAAACTTGCTTTCATGCAAGTTATTAATTACATTTTGAACCCTTTGCTTTCTTATTTCTTGAATGCAGTCACTTAATAAAAGTTTCACCCTGACCTGGATACCTAGGCTAGCCAGTTCCCATCAGATCTTGGAACCTGAGCAGGTTCCTTGGAACCCTGGCTAGCATTTGGATGGAAGACCTGAAAGGAACACCAGGGTTGTGACGTGGAAGCAGGCGATGCCAAACCACCTCTGACTGTCTCTTGCCTTGAAAACCCCACCAGGGGTCACCATAAGTCAGCTGTGATGTGATGGCACATCACACCACCTATTATAGTTTCAGAACTTTCCTGGGGGGACGACTGGCATCAAAGTTGTGAGCGAGCGACTTGGCTACTGCGTTACGCTGGAGCCCTCCTTCATGAGCTAAGGCAAAAATGTGTGAACCGGAGGCTAAAAAATGGTGAGCTAGCTCACACTAACTCAGCTTAGAGGGAACACTGGTCACCATAAGTCAGCTGTGACGTGATGGCACATCACACCACCAATTATAGTTTCAGAACTTTGCTGGAGGGGACATGCTTGCTAGATCAGGCAGTGCTCTCCTCATAGTAAAGGAAGTGATGCTAGGGGAAAGGAGGAGAGAGGAGAAGGCCTCCAGCTTCATTCAGAGTAATCACTCCCCGAACAACCAGAGGTGGCGGCAATGGGTTACAACATGTAATCCATCCAGGGTTAATAAGTGTGTACAGAAGGGAGGAGAGGGGATGAGGAAGTATCTGTCAGTCTGTTGCCCCAGGGATGGGCCCTCAGCCAAAACCCCTTACTCCAACAATCTTCCACTATAGTGCTTGTCATCCATCCGTCAGTATAAATACAAAGAGTAAATCGAGTAACTCTTGCTGAAGTAAACCCATGAGGATAAGTCCAGGATCACTGCTGCCAATGGAACTGCACCAGAGCAAAATGATTAAGGCACCATAACATGGGCAGATATGATCATTTTTAATATCTTAGACCTGCAAAGAAAAAATACTATAAAATGAAGAATGCCCTTTATCTTCATAACCAACAGACAGATGAACAGATTAGAACATTTTGACATATTTGTGAAACTACTGATTCTTCTTCTTTTTTTGCATACTTTATCCAAGGGAAAGGAATTTACAGTACATATGTGCCAGAATGAGATGTTGTGTTTGTTGACCTTTACATTTACGAGCTCTGTAACATTAACTTGGACAGTGTATTTACCTCACTGCACCTGTTGGTTTTAAACAAATAAACTATGGTTTCCATGGATTAAGGCTGAAGCCTCCCTCACTTTAAAATATGTTATTTGGAAATCAGTGACATTTTCAGGCAAAAGTGTTTAGAACTGAGGGTTACAGCAACTCACTTATGACTCATTTTATGCCTACTAGATGTGACAACAAGAGCCAAGTGAAGACTGGCTGTAATTGAGCCTTCTGTTAACTGAAGTAAGTGGAACTTAAGAACCCTTAACTGTGAATTCAACTGCAGTGTTGAGAAGCAAGTATTAGCAGTACCTAAGAAGATGCCCTCTGATTTTTGTCAGTTATGCCACTCTTGGTATACAAGGTTTGTACAACCTTCCATTGGCTTTGTCTCAACCACTGTGATAAAGCCTTGACAAAGGATAGTTACCGTCTATACCTAAAGTATGAAGTGGGCTACAGCTGACAAAAGTTTATGTTAAAATAAATCATTCCTGAATTCCCTTCCTGGGAGCAGGAAAAGAGAAAGACCCAAGATGTGATGGATTGACTCTGTAAAGGAAGCCATGACCCTCAGTTTGCAAGACCTAAGCAAGATTGTTAACCATGGGAGATTTTGGAGGTCATTAATTCATAGTGTGGTCATAAGTTAGAAGTGAGTTGACAGCACTTAATACACATCTCTTGGCATTGGGACTACCAACAGCCCTTGCTGTGATGAGCACAATGGTTTTGAGTCTTGAAGGCTTGTACTGAGGAGGCTGTCAAAAGTTTGTTGGCCCTAGACCACTAATGGCTTGAAGGGTCAAAACCAGCACTTTGAATTGAACTTTGAAACAACATCTCAGGATCAGTGTAATATGACTGAAAGCACCCGTTTCTGTCAACAGCTGAGCAGCTGCATTCTACACTAATTGAATTCTCCAAATTGTCTTCAAGAGCAGCCTATGCAGAGCAGCCCTTGGCCATTTGTATGGTCTCATTGTAAGATTCCCATGATTGCTATATTCTTAAGAATTAAGTCCTGTCACAGATTGGGATTCTCTTTTCTGTAAAAGAACTTCCCACTCAGAAGAATGTCAACAGCTGTTGAAGATCAACTACTTTATTGCTTGTTCCATCTTGACAGTGTGTCCCTTCTGTCTAACTTTAGGCCTGCTAGGAATGTGGCCCTGTTTTAAAAATAGCCCAGCTAAGGCTAAATCACCAGGAACCAGAGCTTTGTGTTCTGTGAACATCTTCAAAAGCAGCAGAATCACAAGCAGGTGATTCACTCTCTCAGGTGCAGAACAGTATTACACATCCCTTTAGTCTGATGTTATTTTAAGACAAAACTTCTTAGTTTAAAATAAAACACACACACACAGTTTGCATGAAGCAAGAGCCAGTTTATCAAAATTAAGCAGTAGTTTACAGTAACAAAGTCCTTACCTCAGGGTAGTACTCAGCTGTAGGTATAAGATGCTGGATCAAAGCATCGAGAGAGGCTGAGGTAAGGTTTCCATCTTGAAAGATCAGCCCTCCTTCATCATCTTCTTTGGATGGATGGAGATTATGAGGGCTGAAGCCACAGGGAGTAAACATGCTGGTAGAGCTCAGCGTTTGGGGCATGCCTTCCTGGAACAGAGGGAAGACAGATGAACAAGATATTAACATGAGGAGACAAGTTAAATGAAAGCTATAGCCATAAACTGAAATGTTGCCAGAAAGTTAATGAGGCAAAGGAAGATTTGTATTCATAAGCTTGAGAAGATAAGTTTGGCAGGAGATCTGGTCCTTTTTTCATGTCCTCCATAGAAATTTGCTTTCCAAGTTTAGAATATGGCTACGAAGGATAGAAAAACCCCTCCCTTTTAAAGAGGTATTTCAACACAGATATATTTTCAAAATTTTTTGCACTCTTGTTATTTAATTGACAGTTCATTTTTTATTCATTAAAGCATTTATATCCTGCTTTCCTCCATGGCTCAAGGTAGCTTATAACATACAATTAAAGCATCATATAATGATAAAAAACCCAAATCCCTTGCCAACCTAATAAAACATAATAAGATACAATAAAATGCTTACAGTTTAACACTCTATTAAAAGTTCTGGTGAACACAGCAGCCTTGCAGAGCCTCCTGAAACTTTCCAAGGACTACATTGTCCTCTAGAGTTACCAACTCTAGGTTAGAAAATTCCTGAAGATTTGGGGGTGGATCCTGGGGGAGTGTATGGTTTGGGGAGGGAGCTCAGTGGGGATGTGATGCCATAGAATCTGCCCTGCAAAGCAGCCATTTTCTCTAGAGGAACTGATCTCTGTGGTCTGGATTAAATTCACAGAGAACTCAAGGATCCACCTGGAGACTGGCTATCCTACACCCCTCAACTCCTCAAGGAGCCCATTCCATAAAGTTCCAGGGACTTGTTATTGAGTGCAGAGGGCCTTCCTGTAACAGGGCTTAGCTTTCAGGATGACAGTACAGTTACAGCACCGACCAGTCTCCTAACTGCCACTGGAACATTCTTTGGCCAAAGGTGGTTGAAACCTATCTGCTTCTACTTCCAGTAAGGCGATGAAACCAGAAGTAGGTTGTCACCTGTGGCACCAGCAGCAGCCAGTACTTTATCATTGCTGTTGCTCACATCATCATTCATGGAAGGTTCTTCTACTGTATCCAACCCTATGAAGTTCAGTCTGTGGTTGCCAGGAGGCCACACTTTGTCTGGATCCATCTATAGGGTTCTTAGGTCAAGTTCTAATTGCAATAAACATGTACACAATAAAAATGGCTAAAGCCAGAAAATGGCTTGACAGTGACCTAATAGTTGATTTTCTAAAAGGCTGAGAATAGTGTAAAGAAAGAAAAAAATCCATATTATCTTTCACACTTTCCTTTTATGCAGCTCCTATCAGAAACTTGGTGGGATGAGGAAAATCAGTGGGATACAGTGATTCCTGGTTATAAATTATATCGAAAGGATGGGGGGGGGAAGGGTTGAAGCTGGGTGGCTCTGTATGTCAAAGCGGGTTTACAGTCCAGTAAGACTGAGAAGGTAAGAGAATTGGATGTGCTTCTGGAAATGCTATGGGTCGAAATAGTGGGCCCAAAAGGAAGCTTAACACTGGGAGTTTGTTATTGCCCACAAGATCAAAAGATAGAGGAGGATTATAAAATGATGAATGAATTAAAAATAGCAGCTAGACGAAAAGACTGTGTCATAATAGGTGATTTGTACTATCCACACATTGATTGGGTCAATACATGTTCAAGTCGGGAAAAAGAGATTGAATTTCTAGACACAGAACCTACCAGGGGAGAGGCATCCTGGATTTGGACCTAAGTAATGCTCAAGACCTGGTGAGAGATGTAAAAGTGATTGCACTGCTTGGGAACAGTGACCATAATGTTATTGAGTTCAACATTTGTATAAATAGGGAGTTGCCCCAAAAGACCAACACAACCACTTTTAACTTTAAAAGGGGTAATTTCTCTGGAATAAGGGGACATGTAAAGAGGAAACTGAAAGGAAAAGTAAAAAGGGTCAAAACCATTGGGGAAGCTTGGAGACGCTTTAAAACTACGATTCTAGAAGCTCAGATAAAATATATACCGCAGGTTAGGAAAGGCACAAATAGGTATAGAAAAAGGCCTGCATGGTTAACAAACAAAGTAATGGAAGCTGTAAAAGGTAAGAAGGATTCCTTTAAGTGGTGGACAGCTAGTCTCAGTGAGGTTGATAAAAGGGAACACAGACTGTGGAAAATAAAATGCAAGTCTGTGATCAGCTAGGCAAAAAGGGAATATGAGGAGCATATAGCAAAAAACATAAAGACCAACAATAAAACTTACTTCAAATACATTAGAAGCGGGAAACCAGCAAGGGAGGCAGTGGGGCCGTTGGATGACCAAGGGGTAAAATGAGTACTGAAGGATGATAGGGAAATGGCTGAGAAGCTGAATGCATTTTT